TTTTCCACAGCCGTCACGCACCTTGGCAATGATACTCCGAATATCATTCATGTAGAAGACATTCCCGAGTTCAGACTGGCATCGTATAGAGGGTACGCCACACTTCTGGCGTAGTTTCTCTTGTGTATGGCGAAGCTTGTAGAGCGAAGGGACATCACGGGCACCTGTCTCCTTGAGAGTCCAAAGAAATACCTGCATGAGTGAATTGGAGACAGGGCACCGAGGTAGGTTATCGATGGTATCAAGAAGAAACATCTGTAATACAAGAGTGTGTCAACTAAGATCAGGTTCATAAGCACTAGACTCACTGTCTTTGACTCATACGGAGCCCATTGGTTTGACGACGCAGCATCAGCATCACTTGGCGCAAAAGCAGGCAGCTCATAGTTAGCTGCATCCTCTACAGACGGCGGGTCCAGTTCTATTATGCAAGAACAGAAGCATCAGTATCTGAGTTGTTACACAAGGACGAGCAGGCAAGATGCATACCGGTGCTGGCAAGAAGGTCTGCTAGAAGTTCATCCGGGTCCTCAGAGCCAAGGCGAAGCTCGAGGAATGGATCAGAGCCAGGGCTTTCATTCCCGAAGCCTAGGTCCTGAGCTGTGGAATGGGCGTTCCAGATTCCAAAGGCCTCTGCATTCTGCTTGAGTTGACGTTGACTCTCTGCCGCTGCCAAATCAGGATCCTCTCTGGCATTAAACGTGAACGCGTGTGGATCCTGTGAGAAGTCAGCCCAGAACTCCTCTTCTGCTGTGCTGGATGCATTTCTCGCTAAAGCAGGCTGTCTAGGTTGTATCAAGTTAATTGATTGCAGTGCCAATGAAGCCTCAGCCCTTCGCTGTTCTCTGCGGTTGAGTGTTTCGGCGATGGCTGCAACTTGAGCTCCTCGGCGCTCATGCTCCTCTACCGCTTCCACATGGGACCTTCCCTTGATGTGAGCCGCCACACTCTTCTTGCGAATTGTTGGTCCTCCCTCTTCAGGAGAGCAGAGAACACAGCGCACTTCGGAGCCGTCTCCTGAAGGCATAAAATCTGGCTGCTCCGTAAGCATTGTTGCTTGCCTAAATTTCTATAAAATAAACTGACATTTCTTGTACAATTCTTGGCGAGACATGCTTCCAGGACGTGAACACCGACAGGTGAAGTAAAAAATGGAGATGGCTTATGATGTGCGTGGTTTCACTCACGCCAATGGATCGCGCGCGGCCTTTATTGATTGAGACATGAGCGGTCCTTCAAAAGGCCACCAACTGACCACAATATAAAACCACAGAACGGCACGCCATTCTTCCTCTTGAACACACATCGACATGCCCTCTGCGTCTTCTGCAACTGCCTTCCGTGATGAGTTTGAACAGTTTGCTAATGCCAACAGCTCGCCACCTGGCAGCCCCAGGCAACCGGCCACGGTTCTCGGAAAACGAATCCGCCCTGCTGAAAGCACAAGTGATTCGGAGGAAGAGGACACTAGCACTATCAGAGGCCGCTCTCGAGATCCTACTACCAGTCAAGATGATACTTCCTCTACCCACTCTACAGCACAGCCCGCAGCTAGTACCAACACAGTCAACCGGAACGTCCTCGAGTACGCCAAGAGACTGGGAGCAAAAACGAAGCTTCGTGCCGAGCAGCAAGAGAAGCTCAATTCTTTTGCCACGGTATGTCTTTCTATTGGGCCACCCTCAATTCGTAGCTAGCGGGCTTACAGTTTTCGATGTAGGACTCTTCGGCCACTCGGGAGATGAAGACCTTCTCACTTCTACTCGCCATTCAGCAGCGGCAAGACGAGTTTATCACTATGCAGGCTCCATGGGAGCCCTCAGACGAACTAATTGTAAGCATGGTACGCCCCGTTCAACTGTATTCGGTGCCGGCTGACTTTGCGGCAGGCCAACATCCGAAACTACACAATGAGCGTGTTACTTTCCAGCCGGCTCGCAACATACAAGGGTGTCGTGCCCAACAACTATGTTGCGGTATGTCCTTATATTTGGGTGTTTCTATGTACTACTAATATCTGTATATCTGTCTTACAGGGCATCCTCAAACGCTACCGGTTCGACTTGCCAGCAGATATCGAGCGCAACCATGGCCGCTGGTCCAAGGTGATTAAGGCCATCCAGAATGAAATGACCGAGCAACGGGCGAAGATCAAAAAGACAGTAAGTCGAACTTATTCCAGATCTTCTTGACATGTCAGTAGTGTGCTAATGCTTGTCTCACTTAGCTCCGTGCTGGCACTGACGGTGATGACCATCAGGAACACCTCAACATCTTCAAGCTCACTGTTGAACTCTGCAAGGGCACGTCATGCAAGCCGTCTGTTCAGCTCTGCGCAAGAGTGGCGCTCCTAGTACGTGCTCGCCTCTCGTTCAACTTCTGATGCTTGGCAATGATTAATGCGGACCATCTGTAATAGCGGAAGACATTCTTGACGAATCCCAACCGTGACTTCTGGGATGCAGCCAACAAGAACCTTGCAGAGATTCGCAACGTGGCCGGCAGCAATCCCAAGAAGATGACCAAGATTTTTAGCAAGATCTTAGCGAATGATCGGGCTACTCACGTGTCACTGAGAGGGTGGAGATAGCGACATTCAGAACAAATCGGAGTGCAGCAGCTG